TCCCTCAGGGCCAATTTGGATAGTGACACTCAAGGCTGCCCAGATCCCACATCCCAGCCTTCCCTAGTCCTGAGGGCAGAGAGATGAATGAGGACTCAGGTCAGGGGGAAGGAGCCAGAGGAGGGCAGCCTGGTAGAGGGGGACAGATTGAGTGATGTCCTGACTTCACTCGGCCTCTCAGCCAGCATGCACACTTGCAAGCCCCAAGCGGGTTGTGTGGCAGCTGACAACCTCTCCAGACTGGTTGGGCTGCCTGCCCCTCCCTCCTTCCCTCAGAATCCCATGCCTTCCCCAACCCAGGGCCTGAACAGCAACCCCCTCACACACACACACACACAAAATCCAGTACCCGGAATGACACCCCAGGGAGCCGGTCCAGACTCAGCCTAACCTGGTGGCCCACCCCACCTGAGGAGGAGGAAAGGAGAAGGGCAGGGGAGTCTGTGTGGGTCAGGGCAAGGATGGGGCGGTGCCCAGAGCCAAAGTTTCTGGGCTCCTCTCCTAAACTCTGAGATCAGAGCATACCTCCCAGGGCCCCTCCCCGGGTCTCCTACTGGGGCTCCTCTGTACTTCTGGCCTCCATCCAGGTGTCTGTAAGTGTCTAATGAAGGGGCCCTTCCCAAAGTATCTTAATCTGAGTTCTTCTGAGGGTGTCTCAATCTGAGGGTTTCTCCGAAAGTGCCTGAGCCTGAAGTCCCTCAAGGTGTCAGTCTGGGGGTCCTTTCTAGGGTCTCTCATGTGGGGGAGCCTCTTTGGAATGTGTCAGCCAAATGGGCCCTCAGAGTCCCAGCCTGGAGGGCCCTCTGAGGTCTCTCAGTCTGGGGGCACTAAGATGGAAGTTCTCAATCTGCCCTTTAATGGTGTGTGATGAGGAGCTTTTCCCAGCCTAAATGTTCCTCTGGATTAACAGCTGCCTCAGATGGACACCTGACAGGCAGTGACAGTCCCTGGAAGGCAGCGCCCGCTGGGCCGCCCCGCCCCTGCTCCCTCTGGCGGCAGGCAATGCAAACCACATGCCCCTCAAGCCAAGAAGGACGGGGAGAGCAGCGCCAAGGGCGCCCCAAATTTCTGCTTCCTGCAGCGCCGCCGCCACCCTCACCCTACAGTCCTCCACCCGGAACCCTGTAAGCATACATCTGCTTCCCCCTGGCTACGGAGGGAGAGAGGGGAGGAGGGTCCAGTCCCCAAGCACCCATCCAGAGAGGATCCAGGTCCATCACGGAGGCTCTGGAATTTCAGCCCAGTTCTAACTATTCTTGTCTTTGTGACTTAACCTCTCTAAAATCTGTTTTCTCATCTTTAATACAGGACTTAAAAATAGTACCTGCCTCAAAGGGCTGTGAGAATTAACTAAGAGAATGCAAGAAATGTTCAGCACTGCACCTGGCACAGGGCAAGCCAACTCATGTTCATCACTGTCATTACCAACCAATGACAAAAACCCCCAGAATAAAAATAGTGGGAGCCAAGATCAAGCCCCTCAGAACCGGGTGGGATATGAGTCACCTTGCCTGCCCCAGAGATCCATCTCTACCTTTCATATATTCATTCATCAACCACTTATTTATTGACCACCTACCCTGGACAAGACCTGATGCAGAATATTCAAAGATGAATACCATTCCTGGTCCTCAAGGGGCTCATAATTTTTGGAATCACCCTCAGGTCAGAATAGAGCTTTCCCACCCCTGGTCTCAAGAGAAGAAATTGGTGTGTGGGTGCGGGGAGCAGTGAGTAAGAAACGTGTATTTCAAGGAGGAAACTTTATTTGGGGGAGAGTAGGGTTCCGCAGAGACCTGCCATGCCCGCCTTCATCCCGGCCAGCCCGCTTTACTTCTTCCGGATCTCCAGGACCTTCTCCTTCCTGAGCTCCTTGGCCAGCTCCCCAATCAGTCTCCAGTATTCATTGAACTTGAGCTCTGAGTCCTGATTCACATCCAAGCTCTTCATCTTCTCATCTAAGGAGCCCACATCCTAAGGAGACAACACAGGCAAGAGTCGGGTTAGAAATGAGGGCTCTTGAGACACGGAGAGAGGGGAGAATTGCCAATCACCATTACCTTCAGGACCTGCCCCGCACCTTCAGGACGAAGCTCCAGCCCCAAGACAGTGCTGCCAAGGTGCCCAACTCCAAGGGGAAGCAGAAGACGGAGGTAGGGAACCTGGTTACAGTGTTGGCTGTGGTCTAAAAACTCCCACCATGGAGGATTATGAACCACAAACATGATGTCACTGAGTGCAGAGCAGGGAAGCGATGCACACAATGGGTCCTCACCTGCAGGTACAGCGGGCTGCAGCATACCACTGCGCCCAAGGAGCCCTTGCAGGCATGGAGCAACCCACTCTCACCACCCTCAGAGCCTCCTCCTTCACAGAAAGCTGGAGAAGTTCACAGCACTTGGCTGCCCATTTGCATAACCCTACTGTCTTCTCACTTTTCCAGTTGGGTCACTAGCCTGGTAGATTGGGGGAATGGCAAGGACACGCGGTATCTGGTTTTCTAAGGGGCCCTTGACAAAGTGTCTCTTGGCAGACCTCAGAAATCAAAGGATATTCTAGAGGGGAGGGTATAGCTCAGCAGGTAGAGTGCTATACTTAGCATGCACAAGGTCCTGGGTTCAATCCCCAGTACTTCCATTAAATAAATAAACCTAATTACCTCCCTGTCAGAAAACAAGACAAAACAAAAACCAAAGGATATTCTAAGCTGGACCATCATGATCAAAGGATGTATTGCCAAATAAGCAACCACAACCAAAAAGTTGACTGCTGAACAGTGGATCGATGTCCAACCAGACAAGGGTGCCTCAGGCAGAGTGTGGCGCTCGACATTTGAATAAACATCTGGATGAAGCAGAGAAGACTTGCCAAATCTAAAGGTGGCACGAAACTACTTCATAGAAATGCTGAATAAGGCTTTTTTTTAAAGCCACAATCATGCTTAATTATAAAATACCATAAGCATTGACAGTGGAAGGCAAAAGTGACCCGTTAACACTATGCTGGGAGGGAGGGGATAACATAAGTTAGTCAAAAGGAAGAAATAAAAGGCATAAGTGTTAGTAAAGAAAAATCAAGTTCACCTCTTACTATATTAGCAATTATAAACTGCATACCTAGAAAAAAACAAAGGAGTGATAACGGCTAACATGTCAACAAGGGTAAACACTTAATAGTGCTGACCATTCCAAGAGTTATGCTGAACACATGACAGGCTTTACATCATTTAATCTTCATAATCTGCTAGAATGAAAGGCTCCATGAGCACATGGACCTTGTCCATCTTGTTTACCACCATAATCCCAATGCCCGGGAGAGTGTCTGGCATGTGGCAGAGGCTTGGTCACCACTATGGCACAAAGCCTAGGACAGCAACAGGACAGGACACAGTAGGTGCTCAATAAATATTGATTGAATGAACGCAAGACCAATCCAATAAGAAAGGTATTATTATGAGTCCATTTCACAGATGAGAAATTAAGGTTCAGAAAGATTAAATGCCTAACTAGGGATGACAAGCTAGACCTTGCATCTGAACCTAGATTGTTGCTCAGAGCTTATACTCTTACCCACTATTCTGTATTTCTTCCCCCAAAACTATTAGACGATATGGTGACAATATTAATACACAAAAACTACTACCACTTCAAACATACTATATGAAAGATCCTATTTAAGTAATAAAAAAAACTAAGAACTCAGGAATAAATGTAGAAATCAATCAAGCTTTTGTGAAGAAATGTGAACTGAAGGATATGAAAGAAAGCATGAATGTAGAATAGCCGACTTATTTTTAGAGAGAAAGACTTACTAGTGTGAAAAAATCAATTTTCCCTAAAATAACATTTGATATGATCCCAACTAAAATATCTGCTGGATTATGATTTTTTAATATGATTAATATGTTTTTTATGATTTAATTTTTAATATGATTTTAATGTGATTTTTTGATATGATTAAATTTATGATTAATATGTTTTTTAATATGATTAAATGTTTCTAAAATTCTTCTTGAATAATAAACATGTGGAATTCACAAACCTGAAAAACAAGAATAATGAGGGAGAACCAACCATACAGGTTATCAAAGTATATTATAAAGCTACAGTAATTAAATGAGGCTGCTTTTAAATAAATAATAAACAGATAAATGAAACAGAACAAAGAGACCCAAAATACACAGAAGAATTAAATAAATAATGTGTCACATCAGTGAGAAAATTTTAATAATAAAATAAAGTCTGGGAGTTTTTTAATGTGTTAAATTGGGGGAGACCTTTCTAAGCATGGCATAAAACACAGAAGCCATTCAGAAAAGGTTTGACAGATCTGAGTACATAAAAATTCCTTATATTCTGTATGGCCAAAACTACCAAAAACAAAGTCAAAGGACAAAGGGCAAATTGGGGGGAAATATTCGCAACACACATAACAGACAAAGGCTAATTTCTTTATTCTATAAAGAGCCATAATAAATTAATATGAAAAGAAAAAACTCAAACAGTTCAACAGAAAAAGCAATATGCATGATTATCAAAAATATTTTTTAATGTTCTATTTCACTCAGTATTAAAGAAGTGTAAATCAGAACAAGATTTCCACATAGTAGACTGGCAAAAACTCATGCAAGGACGGGGGAAACAGGCAGTCGCATGCACTCTTGGTGGCCATGAAAATTAGCACAATCTTGTTGGGAGGCAAATTGATAATATCTGTAAAAATTAAGAACAACCTACCTTTTGACCTAATATTTGTACTGCCAGGCATTTGCCCTATAAATATTTTCCTCCAAGTATGTAAAGATATATAAATAACAATGTTTGCAAAAGCAGAAAAGTGGACAGAAGAGAAATATTCCTCAATAGAGGATTAGCTACATAAATTTGTGGTGAGTTACATATTAGAATACAGTGCATCATTTTTTTTATAATGGGAAAATAGCCTATATGCATTGTTACATTTTTAAAAAGCTATTTGTAGAACAGTAGGTAAGATGCATTTATTCATTCACTCACTCAACAATTTTATTTTTTTCAACTTTTCTTCTATCTCCCTGATACCCTCCATACTTTATTGAGCACCTACTAGGAGTCAGACACTACTCTAAGTGCTGCAGGTAAAACAGTGAGCAGGTTCCTTTCCTTCATGGAAAAAGACTTGTCTCCTACATGGAAAGAAAAGCAATTATATGTTACTTCTTAGTGACATATAATTATGTAAAGGAGGCTAAGCTGTGATGGAAGTGTTCTGAAAGAAAATATCCCAGGGCAAAGGAACAGAGCACAAGGAGGTGACTTCTGTACTCAGGGGTGAAGGAAGCTCATGCTGAGGATTTGCCATATAAGCAGAAATCTGAGTCAAATGAGGAATAAGCCTAGGAGATAGCTGAGGAATGAGCATTCTGAACCAGGGGAGGAAAAGTGGAGACAGTAAGTATAAGTAACTCTCACTGCTTTTGAGGAGTTTTGCTACAAAGGGGAGCAGAGATATAAGGCATAGCCGGAGGGAGTTACAAAGTCAAGGGAAGTTTTCTTTTAAGCTGGGAGATATTTGGCTTGAAAAAGCGTGTTTGTAAACTGATCAGAACAACCGAGTAGAGAGGGTAAATGTGACAAAAGAAAGAAGGGTAAAAATGGAAACAGTAGCATCTTTAAGTGGATGAGTAGGGATGGGAGTTAAGGCACCAGTGGAGGGGCTGGCCTTAGGAGCAGAGACGGATCATTCACAGTAACAGAAAAGAAGGCAGGGAATGTGCTGATGGGTTGGCTGATTGGGGGGAGGGAGCACATAGAAGTTTCCTGATTGTTCTTATTTAATTCATGAGAAATTTTCTCATTAAGAAAGCGAATGTGGAAAGAGGCACTGGAGTTCAAGGAGAAAGGGAAAACTGTGAAATAACCATCCGAAAGATGGTCAATGAACCCACTAGGGAAACGTAGTTGAACAGCCAGGCATTGCTAAGGGTCCCGTTGGGCTTTGGGCTTATAGATTTAACATGAGACAAGTCAACATGGTAGTGTGCTCGTCTCCGGCCAGATTCAGCTGTCGGGTGCAGACGCAGAATGGTGAGTTTCACCAGCAAGTTAATGGAGGTGAAATGTTGCATTTAACCTGAGTTGGGATTTTGCCCAACCCAGAGAGAGGACAGAGAGAAAGAGAATCAAGGGAGTTAAGGGTATGATTATAATGATGAACCTTAGAACCCAGCTGAGTAAGAAGGGAAATGAGGTCATGAGGGAAGGTGATGGAAGGCGAAAAAGTGATAGGGTCAAGAGACTGAAGGTCCCAGTGGTGTCAGGAAATGGTGGGGAGGAGGAACGAAACAGAGGAATAGAACTGGGATAACAGGAGATGGTAGACAGAGAAAGAGGGGCCTGGAATTGAGATTCTGGAGGTGGTGCATTGGTAATAAGATCTGAAGAATGAACGGGGGTCGGGGGGGATGCAGCAGGAAGATAGAATCTTTGAAAGTGAGGAGTTCAAGAAGTTGAGAGGCCTGGATGCTGGATGAGTTGTCCATGTGGATACTGAAGGTAACGGCGGCAGCAGTGATGAGAAGGAAATCAGTCAGCCAGAGCTGAAGGGCGGGAAGGAATGCAGTAAGAACGGTGGAGGGGGGTACATAGGAGCTTCAAGGAGCTGGGCATCTTAGGAACAGGAAGAAACTAAGATCTGGAAGCAGCAAGAAGAGCAAAGAGGTCACTACCTGCATCTCCAAGCCCAGAGGGAGTTGGATTTGGGAGAAGAAAACACTCACTATTTAACAAGACTACAGGGAATGTTGCATTTTTAGGGGAGAGCCTGAAGTTTCCTGTGAAAGGAGGAAGGGGAAAGTCTTAAGGGTGTAGGAGATACTGAAGATGATAGACTATGAATTTCAGAACTGTTTGTGTTTTTTTTTAAAAATCCATATTCACACACTTTTATGTGCCTGTGAATTTTCAGAAAGGATGTAAGAGAAACTGTTAACAGCCTGGGGTGATGTGCCAACCCAGAGCAGATGAAACGTGAATCCCTACTCCAGCCTGTGAGTAGGAGAGAAGGAAGGATCCTGTCAGTTGCATTATTGAGGGCACTCCCAGAAGGGATGAGGAGTAATCACAGGCCACTTACGGGTCCCTCCTACACTGAGATCCTATGGCTCCAAGGATCAGACTCATAGAATTATTTTTGATAAATCCTCTCCCATAGCTAAGCCCCAGTTACTATATACATGAAGTGAGGAATCAGGACTGTGTTTTCTCTTGGCTTCCTTCTAGCTCTGATGGTCTATGAATCTTCTGGAAACCAGCTCTGGGTCCAGCCCTGTGTTGGGTAAATGAGACCAGAGAGGCACAGAGCAGACACAACAAGAATCCAACCAGCATCACGTGATGGAAGAGCAAAGCCCAGGAACACACGTGCACTCACAGGCACGCTGGCACGGAGTTACGCGCACACACACCAGGTAAGAACATCCAGAACCATTTACACACATGCAGTCCCCACACCCTCCCCCACGACACCTTGTGCTGAGCCTTATCATGCTGAGCAATGTCACCTCACATACACAGCGTCCCACAGCCACTGGCTCCCAAGATCTCAGGCCCAGAGATTCCACTCACCTTGAGCAGGTGAGGCAACTGCTGAGTGACCAGCTCCTTGAACTCATCGATGCTGAGGCTGCCCTTCCGGCCCTCCCGCCCTGCAAAGGTGAAGAAGGTGGTGACCACTGTCTCGATGGCCGCCTCCAGCTCGGTCAGTGGCTCAGCTGCCATTATGACCCTGGGGCTAGAGCTGGTGTCCTCACGGGGCTAACCTGCAGGAGGGGAAGGAGAGAAAGGGAGAGTCAGGAGAGACCAGAGCGCCCCTGCCCTGGTGTGTCCACCTAGGGCCTCTACCTGGAGCAGACCTCATGGGGAAGCACGGAAGGAACAGGGATGCAGGGATGGAGCTTGGGGCAGTGGACCAGGTACCTCAGTGTAGGTGAGGGAAGGAACGTTCACTTCCGGAAACCCCTTCCTCTTTAAGTCTCACAGTCTGGGGATCCTTTCGAAGTCTCGGGGACCCCTGCATGATGGCCCCTCAGTCTGGAGAGCCCCCTGTCTGGGAGGAGGCTTTCAGTCTGGGATCCTTCCTTGAAGTCCTCTCAGTCTGCTGGACCTTCTGTGGGGTCCAGACCCAAGGGCCCTTTCTCGAGTTTTGCCGGCCTCAAAGGGTCATGAGGTCGTTTGTCTCCAAAGCTTGTTTGTGCAAGGACCTGGGTCTCCACCCGCCTGCGCTGCGCCCGCCCACACACACACTGGCTGCTCTTCCCAGCAGAGAAGCCCAGGGTCTGGCAAATGCCCAGCTGTGGTCAGGGCTGGCTCCGTCTGGCCAGACCCGGCCTCTTGGCCCCACCCCCCTTCCCTCGGCGACAGCCGGGCAGAGTGCAGAGCCCAGGACCCCACGGCCCTTCCCGCGCCTGTCTCCCCGCGACGGGGGTCCTAGATGGGGCTCCCCTGGCTGCCCGCGCCCAGGAAGGGCTCGATGCCGGCACTCGCAGCCCTTGGGCGGGGTGGGGGACAAGGCTGGGGGAAGGGGACTTGCCCACTCGTCCTCCCTTCAACCACGTACCCCCTCCTCTCGGCAAAGACTGTTGCTGGACCTCCCAAAGCCATTTCCTGAGTCCCCATCTGAGCCGGCTCCTAGGGGAGGGACCTGAGAGCCCAGGGCGGAGAAGAGGCTCCCGAGGCTTTCTCCAGGGTTAGGGGATGCGACTCACCGGGGCAGGGAGATGGGGAGCAGCGAGCAGAAGCCCTAGGGCTGAGGTTTATATGCGTTCCGGGAGGGAGGAAAGAGCCCCTCCCAAGCCCGGAGGTGTCAAGTTTCCGTCGTGGATTCTGAAGAGGAGACCGCCCATTCACGCCTCCACACACACCCCCGCCCCCGCCCCCACCTCCAGCAATCGGGCCAGAAACCCTGCCCGCCCCCGCCAGCCGCCCCAGCCCATGCAGCCTCCACTTGGTGAGGGGAGGACCTGCCTGGGGCTGCCTGGTCAGATTCCAGTCAGCAGGTATCCTGGGGTCCCATCCTTTCCAATACAGGGAGCCTGCAGTCCCACCACACCCTCCTCCTCTAATCAGGTGTGTATGTCGGGGGAGGTGGAGAGGCCACTGCAGGTTAAAAGAACAAACTGAGGGAGCTCCACACTGAGAAGTCCCCTCTAAGAAACACCACAGAGGGCCCCTCAGAATGAGAACCCGCCAAGGACCCTGCAGCCCGAGACCCCCACAGAGGATCTGGACTGAGACCCCACAAACACAGAGGGGGATCCAAGCTGACTTCACAGAGGAGACCCTGGATTGAAATCTCTCAATGGGGTCTCAGGCTGAAACCCCTCAGGGAGCCCAAGACTAAATTATTCACAGAGAAGCCCCCTCACTGAGCCCCCTCAGTGAGGTGCATGCCTTCTGCCCTGCCTAGCAGCACACCAGCACTGGGGGGTGGGGGGTGCAGGGAAGTCCTCTCCATGTTCCTTCCTCCCAAGATCTTTCCCACCTCCCTTCCTTCTGCGCTGTGCCTGCTGGGGCCCAGCAGTTGAGGGGGCAGACAACCAAGGCTGGAGAAGAGGACACAGGGCAGCCTGTCCCAGCCCAGGAGACAGAGGGCGCCTCTGTCCACTCCTGGCCCCTTGCCCCACTGGGTGTCTGTCTGTGAAGGGGTGGAGCCGGTTGGGGGAGGGTTGGCGGGGGAAGGACGACTGAAGGCAGGTCTCCCCACACAGCTCCGGTAGCCACATTTGCAGCCTTGCCTGTCTTTCCGGGAACCTGCTCCCACCTTGCGCCCAGGCCGCCAGTGAGTATCCTGTCCCATCTGTGCTAAGTCCCTGCCCTGGCCAGCTTGCAGGGAAGGGGACTTCAGCAGGGCTCCAAGAGTCTGTGGAGGATGGCGTTGTGGTGCCTTGTGGGTCTGGGAGGAGTTTGGGCTTTGGGGGAGACAGTGTTTGGAAGGTGGTGAGGGAGGCAAGGGAAGATCAAAGGGAGATCTGGGAGCTCAGTGAATGAGGAAGCCAGGGGGGAACACAACTGCTGAGCCTCCAGGACACCGGGCCCTCCTACCACAGAGCCCTCAAGGGCCCTCCCAAGACTCCCTCAGTCACCCAGGTGCTGGGGAGGGGATCCAGCTCTCGCCTTGTTTCCAGTGGTGTAAGAATAAGAGAGCAGATGGAACAGCTACTTCTGCCCACCCTACCCCACCCCCCGCCTCAGCCTTGGTCTCTCTGCCACCCCACCCAGCCTTGCCAAATGCTTGGGTCCTAGGGAAGTCGGGGGGCGGGGGGTAGTGGGTGGTGTTGGTGGCAGAGTATGGACCATGTGATACCAGGAAGGGGGGCACTAGGTACTGTTCCCACTGTCAACTCTCGCTTCACGTGACCTCCCTTTCTCCTCCTCCTCTTTCTTGGCCCATATCCCCAGACTCCTCTTTCCCCCATTCTTTCCCTTTGTTTTCCTGTCTGCCCACTCCCTGCCAAGGTCCTCTCAGAATGGCCCCTACGCAAAATCCCAGGCTGCTTGAGGTGTCCAGGCAACCTCTAGGTGCCCTCCCTGGATGGGGCCGATAACTGAGCCACTAGCACCCCTCCTCACACACCCTCTTATCCTCTCCATCAGCCCCGGCTTGGGTTCCATCTCCCCCATGTCTCTGTGACAACCGCTTCTCATGTCTGGAGTTCAGGTGACACTCACAAGGGCACCATTGAAGAACTGGGATGTCATCCGATCAGGGCCCATTGTCCAGCCCCTCAGGCCTGGAGAAGGATGGGGACACCTGATCTGAGACACCTGAGTCGCCCCCTGAGGCTGTGGAGGGGCTGACAGTCCCAAGGCCAAGGGAAAGAGGCCCCCTGGCTTAGCAATCCCCTCTTCTCAACAGACCTCTCCATTTTTCCCCTCCCCTCTCGAAGCCCCTTGAACTTGGAGGACCTCATGCATTCAGCCTTTATCTCCCCCACACATACCAGCCCCATTCTCCCTGATGCCACTGTCCCCACATCTGACCAGGCTGGGCCTCGGGGTGGGAGTGGCCAGCAGCAGCGACAAGATCTCACATGTGTCCTCTCCCTGTCCCTGGGAGCCCTGACTCCAGGGAAGAGGCTCAGACATTACTCTTCCCCTTCCCACCACCACCCAGTGGAAGGACTGATTCTGCAGAGAAGAGGAACCAAACTAGAAGTAATGGAGGGAAGCCAAAGTGACAGGTTCAGGAGGGAATAGAATTGAAGGATCAGGGGAGGCCCCCAGTCTGCTGACAGGAAACTCAAAGGCAGTGAGATGCTCCTTCCCCATGAACCTTGGGCCGCCCACTCAGACTACCACCCCCTCCCCAGGCTGACCGAAGGCACCAGACTGACTCCTTGCTCAAGGTGGGCAGCAGAGTCAAGGCTGTAGAGGGGAGCCCAGCCCACCACCCCCAAGAGCAGAGCTTGCTTGTGCTGGGCAGGCAAGTCCAGGGTAAAAATAGAGCCAGAGGAAGCCCGGCTGGGTCCTGTGACCACCCCCACCTGCCTGCCCCACCCTCCTCAGCGTCTGCCCGGGCAGCCCGGAGCCACTGCAGGGTCAACTGCAGGCCTCTAGCGCCAGCCCAGCTCCAGCTGCTCTACCGCGGTGCTCTCAGCCCTGACTCCCTCTTGCTGGAATGTGGATTGAGGGACACAGAGTTCAAGTCTAGATTTAGATATGTTTGCGTAAAATCTCAGAAAAGATAAATTGTGGTGGGGCTCTGATCTCATAGCTCTTTGAGCTGTGGGACCCGAACCCGAACCCCAGATACCCCGAGCATGGTCCCCAGCTCACTTCCATGGTGGGATGTGGGTAGGTAAGCTGCGCAATGGGCTCTGAGCTGGAGACGGCGATGGAGACTCTCATCAACGTGTTCCACGCCCACTCGGGCAAGGAAGGGGACAAGTACAAGCTGAGCAAGAAGGAGCTGAAAGAGCTGCTGCAGACGGAGCTCTCCGGCTTCCTGGACGTGAGCACAGGGTCGGGGTATGGGGTGGAGTGGGCGAGGGGTGGGGGAACAGAGCGGGTACCTCCCTGCCATCTCCTGACCCCATCCTGGCTCAGCTCAGTCATCTCCTTCCTCTCCCAGGCTCCCCTACTCCTCCTGGTTCAAATCAAAATGCCCTAATTTACTGATCACCTGTTAAGTGCTAGGCCCCGTGTAGATGCATCAGTAGCAAGGCTCACAGTCTAGAAGGGACAAACTGACACTTGAAAGTAAACCTTGAACATCAGGAAGCACGCAGAGCCTTAACAGAGGTGCCGGAAAGGCTTATGGGAGAATATTAACCTGACTGAAGTGGGACAGCTTCTCCAAAGAGGTGGCACCTGAGCCATAGATTTCCACTGGAAGATTATTAGGGTAACTGTAGCTATCTTAGGAGAAGGTACATTATGGAAACAAGAGCATGGGGGGGAAGATGGAGCATGCTTAGTAGTTGTGACTGGACTGAAGGATGCAGAAAAGGAGAAGCCAGAAGAAATTGCACCAGCTTTGAGGTTTTATTAGACCCAGGTTCAAATTCTGATGCTGCCACTTTCTAGCTGTGTGACTTTGGGCACATTATTTCACCACCAACTATGAATTTGTCTTTTCTCTATAATAGCAATAATGAAACCAGTTTCATACTATGTTAGAATTAAATTAGACATTACTTGTAAAGCTCCTAGTGTAGTGTTTGCCACATGGTAGGCACTCAACATATGGTAACTGATGTTCTTATTCCTCTGCCTTGTTAAGCTTATTCCGTAGGCAACAGGAAGCCACAAGTGTTTCAGTTTTGAGGAGGGCAGCAAGAGTCCCATAATTAGATGAAGTTCTCCCTCCTCCCCATCTCTGCCTCCTTCTCCCCAATGAACTACTCACCACGTCCCTGACTCAGTGCTATTCATCTCCCTATACACCGACCTCTCCATCTCCTCCCTGCACAGACCCAGAAGGATGCGGATGCTGTGGACAAGGTGATGAAGGAGCTAGATGAGAATGGAGATGGGGAGGTGGACTTCCAGGAGTACGTAGTGCTGGTGGCTGCCCTCACTGTGGCCTGTAACAGCTTCTTCTGGGAGAACAGCTGAGCCGATTGCCCCCGTGGGCGGCGCCCTTCCCCTCCACTCTGCCGTACCTGCCCTGCTTCCCCCTTACCCCACTTTTACTTCCCCACATTCCCACCCTTGCCCACCCTCAAAGGGCGCAAGAGTAGTGGGCCAGGCCTGCAACTCCTCTTTCATTAAAGGCTCCTCTCTACCAGCTGCCAGCTGCTGTCTGTCTCCTTTAGGGTATGGAAGTGGGTGGGGAAGTGAAGGCTGCTGACTCTCAATTTCCCCTTTTTTGGGGAAGGGTCTTTTGAGGGGGAGGGATTTTATTTGGAGAGAGATCAGGGGACCATTACATATTCCTACTTAAGGAATGCTCAGGGTCCAGGAAGGTAGGGTAGGGGTTCAAGGTTTCAGCTGGAAGTGGAGGAGACATCAGCTTCTCAGCTATAAAGCCAGAAGAATTTCCCTTCAACCTTCAAAGAATATTTACTTAAGACCTAACATGTGTTAAACATTGTATAGGAACTGGAGATAACAGCAGTGAGCAAAACACATACAACCCTCAACGTCGCATAGGTAAAGTCCAGTAAGGATGCCAAACCATTAAACACACACATAAATGCTAGAAAGGAAAATTAAACGATCCGATGCCCCTGGGGGCGGGGAGGGGGAGCGATTGAAGACGTGTTCATTCACTCATTCTTCATACATTCAAGCCTTTTATTGTGTGCCCAGGCGTAAGGAAAATCCCTTGTAGGTCTGCATCAGAATCCACATGGATGGCATCTGGCGAGAGGAAATGGAAGGGAAGAGGGAGCAGGAACACAAAGTTCCCGGCAAATAAGGATTTAGCAATGGTTAGATCAAATTGGGGAGGAAGTGAAGAGACAAATATGCAAGAGCGGTGGTGAGTGGCATAGGATCCAGCAGAGGTGTGCTCCCGGCCCTGGTCCCCACGGCCATCCACAACTCTCTGAGCCAGGCAAATGAGGAGTGCAGAGCCAGCGGAAATTACCCGGGCCACGTGGTCCGGAAGAGAAAGCGAGGCACGTCTGCGTAAAAAAAGTTTAATCTGTTTGCCTTAGCTTGAGGGGCTGAGGGACGCGAGAGGAAATACGAACATCCTTTACGTGGGCACCAAATCTGCCCCGAGCGGCCCAAATCACTACCGCACAGTTCCCTTAAAACCCAAGAGCGATGCTACCAGCCACCTGGGCGGAGCGCTGGGTGTAACCCAGACGGGGCCTTTGCTAAAGCCCGCCTACTCTCTAAGGCTCCTCCCCGATCCCCGCGCAGGCGTGGCACAAATTTTCCCGCCCCCTAGTTGTGCGCGGATCTGACGTCTGACGTAATTGCGTCGACGCCATTTTAGCCGGTCCCACTCCGCACTGGGCGTGGCGGCCATTTTGTTTTGGACACCGAGCGGGAGTTGGCGGCAGCGGCTGTGGTGAAAGGCAGGAAAGGGCAGGCCGGGCGAGCAGGCGGACCAGCGGACCGGACAGCCAGCCAACAGCAACGAACTAAGCTAGCACTCTACCGCTTAACACATCTAACCAACCGCCCACCAAGTTAACCCGAGCCTCTCCACCGTCAACTCAGGTTCGGCCGGCCCCCGGCCCGCCTTCCGCAGCCGTGGTGGCAGCCCCGGGAGGAGCACTGGCGTCCGTTTCCTTCGGTACGTTTCTGTAGTGAGAAGGAGGGCAAGAGTCTTGGGGAGCTGAAGGGCCCAGCGGACGCGGAGCGGGAGCTGTGGGGATGTGGAAGCAGATAGGGTGCTGGAGAGCGGACGCCCCGGGGAGGGGGCGGAGCCCCAGAGAGGGAGGCGGGGGAGGGGGAGTTTCCCGAGCTGGAAACTCACCGCGGGGTTGATGGGAAAGGTTGGGATTTAATAGGGGTGAAAAGGAACCTTGTTTGACGGGTTGAACAAAGTTGGCGGTGCTGACGGAGCTTTGAGATGGTAGGGAAATCAGAGGAGGACTTCACGACTTTAGGGAACGTTGGAGAGTAATGGCAGCGTTAGGGTTAAATTTTGTAGCATGCTCTCTGGGAGGTAACTCCCAGGTGAGTGCCCATTTAGAAAACCGTTACTCCTCCTCCTCCTTATCCCCCCTCCCGCCAGGTCCCGAGTCCCTTGCCAAGGCTCCTGCTTGATTTTGGAGTCGAAAGCCAATTTTGAAACTGATACACCTGTATCATCTCTGTAGATCAGTGGTTCTCAATTTTGGCTGCACATAAGAAGCGCCGAGGTAGACTTTTTTCCCCCCATTTATTGGCTGATCCCCAGCCCTCACCATCAGGGATTGTGCTTTAAATGGTTTGGGCCCAGCCTTCTGTGTTTTGTTTAAAAGCTCCTTGCTGCCAAGGTTGAGAAGGACCGCTCTAGACGAAAAACCAAACTCTTAACACTTGTTTTAGCTAAGTCTAGGACTGCCATTTTGGAGGCTTGGGCAGATATTTTCTGTCATGTGGCCTGGAAGTTTATTCACTTCAGGTGACTGGCTTATAAATTTAAGCAGCTGGAATGAGTTTTAAAGTGATCATCAGAAGTCATTGATACGTGCCTTTCCATTGATTTCTGGTTTGGGCCTTTAGGCCTTGTTGAAATGAGGTGGTCATCATTCTGATTTGCTTATTCTCCCCATTGTCCTTTGTAGATTCTCGGGATTTGAAGATGGCTGCACAGTCAGCGCCGAAAGTTGTGCTAAAAAGCACCACCAAGATGTCTCTAAATGAGCGGTGAGGCAGCCAACAGCAACTTCAGCTCGTTCATAAGAAAACATTACTTAAGTTGGCCCTGGGGTCCAATGCTCAAAAACCGGTTTTAAACTAAATACCAACAGAAGGCTACAGACCTCTGTTCTTAATTGCATCTTATGTGGTACACAAAACAAATTGGGCGGTTGTTTCAAAACCCCTTATCAGTAGATTTTTATGTTAAGCTATCTGAAATATTTATCTGGTGGGATGTATTTTAAAAAGACTCCTCACACCCTCCCTTTTCACTTTTTTTTTACATTGATACAGGGGTGGTGCAGCTCAGTAGCATGATACCTTGGCTGCAGTACGCTTGCTGCCCAGTCCAAGGCCAGCAGTGTTGTGTCTGGCCTGTAAGAGGCAGGTAGCAAGCTATGAATATGTCCAAAGGCCCTCGAATGTCATTCTTGGGCCTTGTAAGAGGCACTTGCTTTGCTCCATTTCACTTTCTTTCCATTCTGCTTTTAGTTTGTTTTTTGTTTTGGATTCTTAAAGTTAAGTGTTGTTCTCTTTCACTCCATTAAACATACTTTGACAGGAATAAATAGAAGAGTGTCTTCACAAGCTCTTAAATAATTGAACTAACCTTAACTTTTCCCGAAGTAGTCACTTGGAGTCAGAAAAAGTAATCACTTGAGACTTAAGAAAAGTTAAGGTATTTAAAGGCACTTTCTGTCTCCAAGAGCTTTGGTCATTTAGTGCCTTTCACCAGTGATTTTATTAAGTTGATGTTAGACCACTGAAAGATTGACTTAATGTTTGTTTGCCTTTTCTGAAGCATATGTGCTGCTGCTTATCTCTTAAGGTATGATAGACTAATTCTCCATATTCACGTTTTCACTAATTCTCCATATTTACATGTTATTGAGTGAGCAAATATAAAGTAAATGTGATATACTCCTGTAATTTATGTGGGTGTATAATTTCCAAGGGCTTTGAAGGTGCTCAGGTTCTTCCTTATATTTGCCCTTAGAATGCACCTTCAGGTCCCCGAAGGTTTTGGCTTGCTTTGTCTATCTTTGAAATTACATCTTCTGTCTTCTTGTTATCATATCTGCTTATTGCGTGTTTTTCTTACTTTCCACCTTTCTAAAAGCCGTTATCTGAGCCCTTGTTATCACTTTTGATTGAATGTGCTGCACTTAGCTGCATTTCTAAGTTTCTGATTCCTGCAAGTTTGTGGAAGCAGAGGAGTCTTTAACCCACATCAGCCTTGATCTAAGTGTACCACTTTACTTAAAGTTCGTGGGATCTGGAGCTCCTGGTCTAGCAAGCCATGAAAATGCCAATAAATGTTTTGTAATAAAGCTTTTATTTAAACATCCATTTTGTTCGACCTTGAAGCTTTACTAATATGCTGAAGAACAAACAGCCGATGCCAGTGAATATTCGGGCTTCGATGCAGCAACAACAGCAGCTAGCCAGTGCCAGAAACAGAAGACTGGCCCAGCAGATGGAGAATAGACCCTCTGTCCAGGCAGCATTAAAACTTAAGCAGGTGAGAGAATGGATCTTAACACTTCAGAAGCAGCTGGTGATCTCTGTCAGGCAGTCCACTGAGGCTGTCAGGACGTGATGGATGATTACAAGGTGGCTCAGGGCAAAAGCTGAACTTCTCTGGAGGAAAGAGAAGTTCAGAGAATTTCCATTTTGGCAGGTACCAATAAGTAACTTTTTGTTGTCTCTCTCTTTTAGGGAGTTTGCCATCAATGTGGCCTGTTTCTGTGTTATCAATGAGTATTAATTTCTTTTGTTTTCTGATCCTTTGCCCTTAAAACAGATTCACTGGCTTTTTCCACAAATAAATTTTGGTGTCTGTTTTGGATGATCTTCAAAAAATCCTTTATTCCCTATTAAATGGTTTACAAATTAGGGAAATGTTTTTTTCTTTCTTCCCTAGTACAGGGAATCTGAAATTCCTCTTAGTCAAAGTTTTTTGATGTGAAACAAAGAGTAGGGTGAACTTTATCTCCACAGCACCTAAAGTTTTGTCAGAAGAGTAGATTAAGAACACTGAGTAATTAAGAGTTAGTGGGTTCTCTTTCAAATTTCCAATAATAGGTAATCCTATTCAGATCTGAAATAAAACCTGCTCTTTATTATTCATAGACTTTATATGCAAGTCCGGACAGTGGCTGTGGAAGGATATGTCCAAGCTGTGGCTGGGCGTCTGGAGGGCGGTGCCATGCAACTGTAAGGACTTTAACTGATAGCACTGCATGGCTGTGCATAAATTCAGCAGTTAAATATAACACCCTTCCACCCCCATCCTGAACCATTGGGCTCACTGACCAAAAATAAACAAGGCCTTCTGCTTCAGCTACCTTAAGCCTTGGAGTGACTGCATTCATCCCTGACTCAGGAAAGCAGTAAAAGGCACCACTATTTTCTAAGAGTAAATAATAAACATTGCTGAAGATAAGTCTGATAAATCATTCCAAAGGGCCTTTCCATAAGAAACTTTAAACATAGGCTGTGCAGAATGTAGCCTCTAGAGCAGTGCTGTCCAGTACAACTTTCTGCAGTGATGGAAATCTTCTGTATCTGTGCTCTCCGATACAGTAGCCACTAGCCACACTGACTATTGAGCGCTCAGCCACATGTGGCTGGTGGTTGTCTCAGCGTACAGCACAGCTCTAGTAGGAATGGAAACTGGATGGTACAGTTGATGTCCATAAGCTTCTTCTCAATGTTAGAGACCAGTATTGGTGGCAAATAAGGATTGGGAAGGGAGAAGAACTAAGTACGGAACCTTCTCTTAAAGCACACGTCTTGGGAGGATATAGTAGGGATGACTAAACATAAGGGACTTACGGAATGAAGTCCTGACCTCATAATTCTGTGCTTTTGTTGAGAGCGTGTCCCTCTGGTGATAAGCAGTTTATGAACATATACTAGAAAGCTAATAACTCACAGCATATGGTTGCAAAGAAAATCATTGGTAGTCATTTGTAGGTGAATCCTGAGGGCTCCTAATTTATTTTCATTCATATTGACTTACTGTTTTATAGGAGAACAGCTTTGCTAGGGCTTTGGTTGTGTTCAAGGCTACACAGTCACCCTTCCCTTTGAAGGAATTTAATTGAGATACTGATCTTCATAGTTTCTCTTTGAGGGACAGATTATTGAAAAATCTTCTGTTTCTGGTATGTCCTTGTCCTCAAATGTGGCCCTGAGTTTTATGAAGATAGCTCAACTTTCTTAATTCTCATGCAAGTTTGGCTGGCTTTATGGAGATGCCTTTGAGTTACATTTTTATTTTTAATTAAAAGTCATTATATTGCCTTAATGGAGTTGTTTGCAAAGGTAGACATGGAATTATGGCTATTTAAGAAATGTAAGGAAAGGAGGTTTGACTTTTTTGTGTTTATTTACATCTTAAGGTAAAAAGTGGACCGTCTGGAGATAGATACTCAGAGGAAAAATGGAACACACTGGCCTCTTTGACTGAGAAATCAAACTTGTTCTTAAGTCACAAGAATTCAAATGAACTTGTAATTTAAATTTTGCCCAGAGTGTGATGAACTCCTATGGTGTTTGAGTAAGCCTTTGAAGACAGTGGTAGTCCTTGGGCAGGTATGAATCAAGTCATATCATTGTCAACTGGTCGTTCAAAAACAGCAGAATCCAGGATGTGAAATATGGAAAGTTCTTACTAAAACTTAAATTCAAAGTGGTAATATATGATGTCTCTAGTGAGGTAATTTGTGGTGATGCCAATTTCATGGGGCCGTACTCTAAGTTTCTTAGACGCTCTGGATCAGAATTCTGCTTTTATACCATGTCCTGAGGCAAAGGCTTGCTTCTGGTTTGGGATCCTTATGACGCCCACTGCAGGCTTACCTCTCTCCACACAGACATCTCACTTGCTTCTATTTTTCTGCACTTTGAGTTGCCAAATCCCATTGGATTGCTTTTTTGATCTCAATTCCTAACACCTTTTCTTCCAGAAGAGCTTAAAGCAGCGCCTGGGTAAGAGTAACATCCAGGCACGGTTAGGCCGACCCATAGGGGCCCTGGCCAGGGGAGCAATCGGTGGACGAGGCCTGCCCATAATCCAGAGAGGCTTGCCCAGAGGAGGACTACGTGGGGGACGTGCCACAAGAACCCTACTTAGGGGCGGGATGTCGCTCCGAGGTCAGTGCTATGTATCTGATGATTGTTGGGCTTCACCCCCTTCCCTTTTCTCTTGGGCTGCTTATGGACCCATTTGTTTAACATCTTTAAGCCTGAATTTGTATTAATATAATTAATAACTTTTGAAATCACATATTTTTAATAGTGCTGCATGTCTTTTATCGATACCATTCCTTTTCTGATAATGTGCAATGGTGAGAGGCTATGACCTGCGTAACAACAGGTAATTCATGTCATCTCCATTCCATTTTAAAACACCCTGCTGCTGCTTGAATCAAAGCACATTCAAGTTCTAGAAATAAGTCAAATCTAAGAAATGTATGGGTCTTTTGGCCTATACCTTAACTAATCATTTCTGTTCCTGGTGCTAGTGAAACATCTGGAAAAAAGAGGACAAGTTGACCCATAGCCCTTAGCTACATGTTACATTTTGGGCACTGTTACTCTGTTCCCTGTATAAGTTCTTGTCCCCTACAAAAATGTATTGAGAGCAGGAACCATATCATTTGTTTTTAAATCTAACTAATGCTAGGCACCTATCTGTGATTATTCAATAGGTATTTATTAAATGTATGTATTTACTAACTGACTTAACTCCCAGCTTCCATAAAAGGATTTGTGGTTGGGCTTGTTGAATTGATTGAATAAAGAGCTGCTTAATCTGTTCACACTCAGTGTGCAGCTTTCCCCACCCAACCTAAATATTAACTGAATTAACTCTCATTTAACCCTCACCGCCTTCCTTTGGTTAGAATCTACTTTGTCTCTCTTGGATTTACCTGCATATACATTGTATGCCTCCTCTCCAAGGTCAAAACCTGCTCCGAGGTGGACGAGCCGTAGCTCCCCGAATGGGCTTAAGAAGAGGTGGTGTTCGAGGTCGTGGAGGTCCTGGGAGAGGGGGCCTAGGGCGTGGAGCTATGGGTCGTGGCGGAATCGGTGGTAGAGGTTAGTCAGCTACCAACTTCAGAGAATAGCTCCCCCTTACTTCTCTCCCTTCAAAACTCAGAGCCACCTTTCTGCACAGCTTCAAGTCATAGGCAGGCTTATTTGTTTGTCTTGTTTGTTTTATGAAACTGGCTTATTTTCTGAATTCATACGCTGGTAGTGCGAAAGTCTGTCATGGGGTTTCTTAGGACAGTCAGGTACATGTTACAGAGCCAGGTTATTTCAGTCTTTTAGGCTGTTGTAAATTTAAATTGCATTGTTCAAATGACAAAATGGTCAGTTTGGGATTTTACCTTTTTCTGTCCCTGCCCCATCACCACACACCCCACCCCATAGCTCAGACCCCTGCTTCTAGTCTAAGAGAGAAGAGGGAGATGTAAAAAACGAAGCAGAGTTAAAGATGATGAGACTGGGAGCTAGTTATTGACTCTGAAACAAAGTAAATTCAAGTAAAGTTTGTGTCTATGCAAAGCCAGAGATGACTTTTTTTGATCAAAGTAGAAAGCAAAATGGTATCTGTCAGTTAATTAACTGACTCTTGTTGATAATCTTACCTCAAGACTTAGTGATAGTTGTCTTGTGAGCTCATGACCCAGATTGAGAAAGAGTTTAATGGTGTTGCTGTTAATGCTGAATCTCATGGGAGTTTTCTGGCTTAGAGCTTAGTGGAAAACTCCCAACAACACCTGTCCAGGGGAAAAAATTCTATTCTTGTAGCTCCTGTGTATATTTGCTTTGGTCCCTTTAAAGAGTAGGGTGGGTCTGCCATAATTTATGACCTTGAAGTTGCCAAAGGATAGTAACTATTAGGAAAGGAAATTTGATAACTGAGGGCTTGTTTTCTTTTCTTGCATTATATGTTGCTTGGCTTATTGAGTGAAGTGCAAACTAGTTTGGGTTTCAGGATGAAATAGCATGTTTCCAAATTATCTTGACTTGGTTTCTGAGAGAGACATCTTGGTTGGGTGGGGGGTCTAAAGTAGCTTTTCAGAAAGCTGGGCATGTCTTGATAAGTGAACTGAAACCACCTCTCAGATAACCATAATTGTTATAAGGTGACTAGAAATGTAGGTAGAAGTGACTGGGACTACTCAAAATGTTTTTCCCCATCTCCCTTCGTTGTTCCAATGCCAGAATAATTCCTCAGTCTCCTGACATGGGGTCACTTGTTAGTATGATCACTTTGAGGAGAAATGAGCTAATTTTTCAGTAGGCTCTCCAATAAAGTTTAATTTGAAAACTGTCTAGCTTCATACTCCTGTTTCTCTGTGCCCTTCTTGTCTTACTAAATGGGGTTATCTATATTTGTATTTTAATTATAAACTTAAAGTGAGTCTCAGATTTTAGTTTTTCTGTTTTAGAAGAGATTAAGAAATTTTAAATTATCAGTTAAATATTTTTCCCTTGCTTTTTTGATAGAATAAAAATGTAGAGATGAGCATGTAGTAAGGGTTTCATTATGTGTGCTTTCCGTGTGTTGCTTTCTACCCAGTGTGTTTCCTGTTTTTCCAGATTTCTCCTCTTTGCCCTGCCCTTCAGTCTTTCTCAGCTAGGCCCCACTGCTCTAAGGGGCATTTACCATAGCACCCATTAAACCTACTTGTAACTGTTTTCTTTTTTTTTTTTCCCCTTGGGCCAGGTCGGGGTATGATAGGTCGGGGAAGAGGGGGCTTTGGAGGCAGAGGCCGAGGCCGTGGACGAGGGAGAGGTGCCCTTGCTCGCCCTGTACTGACCAAGGAGCAGCTGGACAACCAATTGGATGCATACATGTCAAAAACAAAAGGACACCTGGATGCTGAGTTGGATGCCTACATGGCACAGACAGATCCCGAAACTAATGATTGAAGCCTGCCTTCCCTCCTGTGAGAGACTCTTGTTAAAGTCACACATCTGTAAATAACCTTGAGATAACAGATGAGAAGAAACCTGACTGATGCTGGAAGGACCTATCATAATAGGCGGACTGACTTGCCACCAGTTTGTGCATTTAGTGTGTTCCTTTTACTTTTTGATACTGTGTTGTATGAAACCCTTTTTTTCCTCTGACTTGGGTTTGGTTTGATTTTGTTTGGGAATTTTTTCCTTCGCCTCTTTCAATATGAATGTGTTGGCCTTGCGGCTAGGACACCCTCTTCCCACCTCTGCCTTCCCTCACCTGTCATAAGCTTTGACATTCTAACGTTTCCTCTGTTCATCTCTGTGCCCCCATGAAAAAGTCCCAGAAACAGCCCATCAATATTCCTTCTTAAAATCTAGATTTCTGAGATACAGTTCTGTTTTACATCATTTTTAATAGCTTTTTAAAAGTGTTTAGAAAATCTGGAGCTCAAACATGCATTCTGCCACATTGATGTTTTAGTGTTGTAAATTAGGAACATTGACATAGCTACAGATCCACCTAACAGGTTACACATGGTAGCAGCTCTGATTTCATTACAGTTATTACCATGTATATTGACACCACATAATCAGTGTGCTGGGTTGAGTATGTGCACTTTCTACCCTGGAATGAAATTTATAAACTTTCCTCTTGGCTTTGCATCGTGTCCAAAGGGGCATTTTTGGGTTGGGTTATACCTGCAAAAGAGGGAAAAGCCATTTGGTGTGGCAGATGTTTCAGAAGGGAAAAAGGGCTAGGGAAATGGTGGCAGATACCAGGTGGGAAGGGTCAGAGGATACCCATGCTGAACTGCTATTTTTATGTTAATCTCAAACCAGTTTTGGGCTTCTCCATTCATTGGCTTTGACCCTCTTCTTACTTGAAGGTTTAATTAAGTTAAATCATTTGCTGTCAACTGTTCCAGTTTCAGTGGAATGTTTTGTTTCTGGTTCACTGTAACAAGAAATGGGTTTCTCAAATCCAACCAGGATTTTCTCTTGTATTTGTGAGGCTCTTTGAAATGGTATGGCCACTATAACAATAGTTTCATATATCCCTTGTAGAGTTGAGAATCCTTTTCTTCATAGTTGTATTAAAATTCAGGGTGAGGAGGGGAATGTGAAGAAGGTGAAGAATTTGCCCTCTGAATAATCTATGGAAAGATGAGCCACCCAAAATAATGTACCAACCCATTTGGCCCATAGGAAGCTCAAGCATGATGGTCTGAGGCAGTATCCAGGATTCTGGCACTGATTTCCCTTTTGCCTTGTGCTGTTTAAGGGAAAAGAGGATCCAATCTAGTCACCTCCAACCAAACCAGTTACCATAGAGCTACCTGGCTCCCTGAACTATTGGGAGCTTGTGTGTCACTGCAGGCTGGGAAGGAAGTTTTGGTCAGGAAAGCCTGAACTTGAATCCCACCTGTATGATCTGGGCTACTTAACCTCTAGAAAGGTTGTGAAGCAGCTTAGTGGTGGAAGGGAAAAACCTTGTGGGGCTAGAGGACAGTCATGCTGGCATAACCAACCTGACCTAGTTTTGAAATGTACAATTACTTTCTCTTAATACGAGTGGACTGTGAGGCTAAGGTCTTTAATTAACCTTTCATAAAGTGTTCATAATCTTTAATTGGAGTAAAAAAAATACATATTTTTTTATGGGCAAGGCTTGTTGTAAGGCTAGCTTCTTAGACCCCAGACTCTTTTCAGCCCCCAAGGCTCTTTTGTGGGAGAGATGATTAGCAGTGGGCAGACTACCCTTTGCAGACTTCACACTCACTGATTACCTTGCATCAGGCATCTTCCAGGGCCTCCAGGATACCTTTGGGAGAAAGGGGAGGGAGCTGCAGGGTGAGTGGGTCCCTTTATTTACCCTCTTCAGTTATACAACCTGGGGTGACCTATCTCTGTGGGACTTTTCCCCAGCCCTGCCTTTCCTAAATACATTGACCTTCCCCCAAAGTAGCTAACAGGTATATACTGCCAAGATATTTTAATCTGGTAGTTTTGTGCCAACCCCCCTCCCCACCCCCAATCTGCTGAGGTCCTCTGTATAAAAGTGAAAGAGGCATGGGGTTTTGGAGCTTACATGAGGGAAGGGGAACCTAGCAGGGCTAGAGAGGCAGAGGGGCCACAGTGGGGACGTCCAGTAGTAGGAGTGGTTCTCACAGTGCCCAATTCCATCTCCACACTGCCCGCACCTCTGCCCATGTCTGTCTGATTTGGAGAATACATTTGGCAAGGTTCTAGGATAAAAAAAAAAGTGTTGAGGGAGTAAGGAAATGACAGAGGCACAGAATGGCAGCAAGTGTTTGAGGTCTCCCACCACTGCCAGTCCATCCACTGATGGAATGATTGGGGGAGGGGTCCATTTCAGAATAGAGTTCCTGGATGCCTCAGCCCCCTAGACTAAGGAAGAGAAGCTGGGGCCAGAACACCTGGGTCCTTTGAGAAAGGGAGACTCCCCAAGGTGCTGGGTGTGCCTTAGCTGCCTCTTCCAGCCCAGGATACCTCTGCCCAGGGTGCTTCCAGTCCCACCCCATCCTGCTGGCCTAGTGCTCTTAGTACCCACTGGTGTCAGTCCAAAAGGATTTGCCCCATGTACTCTACACCTGTCTTGCACAGACCCAACTTGCAGGGCAGTGATCTGAGACCAGGTTGAAACTGCTATTCCTAGCATCTGTGATCTTTACTATGGAAATGGCAAGCTGACCTAGTGGTCCGGGGACCCTGAAGCATCCTGGCGAGGAAGGGGTTGGGGGGCTGTTGCTTTGTTGGTCCCAGTGAAGGTGGGCAATGAGGTGACCACTAGAGCTTAAGCCCCCTTCCCTTTCTGCCTCCTCTGTGTCCCTCCTACCTCATGAAAGAATTCCTCCTCAACAGTGGGCACAGGGAACTTCCCTACCAGTCACTGGCCTTCCAGCTCCACCTGCTGCTCAGTGCAGTTCCTGGTGTCTCCTTGAGGCCCGTGCCCACTTATGCCATCCTCAGTCCTTGGTGGGTGTCCTGGGTAGAGTGGGACAAAGAGTCAGCCTGGCTCCTGGGTCAGCCTTTGACTCATTTGGCCACCATCTGCCAAGGGCTTGCCATACAGACATGAACAAGGCATTGTTTGTTAGAAGGGCACTGGTAGTGGAGAGAGGAGATTTATGAGTTGGATTGTGAAAGTCAAGGGAAAGTTTATCAGAGAAGGGAGAAAAATATTCCAAGGAGAGGGAACAATAAATACAAAGGTACTGAGGCCTAAAAGAGCATGCTGTATGCCAGGGAAAGTGAGTGAGTGCTGGGCCTTCAAAGTAGGATGGGAGACAACTGATCACATCGGGTAGCCTGGAGCCTGTCTATTGAAGAGCTTGGGCTTTATGCTCCAGGTAGTGGGGAGTCATAGATGACTTTAAGCAGGAGGATGCCATGGGGTGATTAACATAGAATGGTGGTGGGAAGTGAAAATGGGTAGAGGGAGGACCTTGGAGGCTGGGAGGCTTGGGTTAGTCCAAACAAAAAGCAGGGCTGGCCTGAACCTGGGCAGTGGCTGTGCAGATGGGAGGAAGACCACGCGGTCAGCAGTTTCCTAGCCAGCTGATGTCTGGGATGTCTGTCAGAGCAAGAGGAGTCATGGATGCCTGAGCAGTGACAGAGGAGACAGCGTGGGGCATATGCCTCTCCCTGGCCTACTCTTGCTCTGTCTCCCTAGTTGCCCCCCTGCAGGGACCCTGTGATAACTGATCTGGAGCCAATAGAAGCACTGCTGCCCAACCCAGCCTGTACCACAGCCACCCACTCCCCATGGTCTTACACCCTGGGAAGAGCTGAGCCTCCAGGCAAGAGGCCAGGACAGGCCGACAGGGCTCCAGCCCCCATAAGCCCAAATGGCTGCCCCTTCCTCCCCTCTTCCAGGTTCCCTGGGGACTTGTCAGGTAATTTCAGCTAATACCCACCTCCCAGCAGTGAGCAGCATGCAGACCAGCACTGTAAGTGGGGCAGGCCTGGGGCCCAGAGAGGCTGGGACCTGGGAAGAGGACCTGGCCTGGCCTGGCCTCTGTGTCCCCTCTCCTCTTCCCACCGGCTGTCCCATCCATCCCACTTCAACCTCATTCTCCAGGCAATGTGGGAAAGGCAAGGGTGCCTAAGCCTCCATTTCCCTGGGTTCTGGGGCCTTTAAGGACTCACCTCTCCACAAACACACACACACACACACATATAGACATGGTTGTCACAGTGGGGGCTTGTATCTCATTTCTGACCCTGGAACTTCTCCATGAGGCCTCCTTAAAGCATTCTCTTGATTCCCCATTTAGGCTTGATTTATTTAATTTCTTTACCCTTTAGTATAAGCTGATTATCAATTTAAGATTTAAACACATTTGTTGTGATACTATGATTTATAAGAAATACATATTTGGCCTTCAGCCCCAGTCCTTGGCACAAAGCTCCTAAAATGCTTGGAATTTCCTGTGAAAAGAGCAATAAGGGGGTCTTTTGTTATGTTAATAAAGTGACTTGGAAAGCTTCAGGTAGCCTAAGGACGGGGGCTGATTACCCTGTGATGAGATAGTTGGAACTTCCAGTCCTGCTCCCAGACCTCTGAAGAGGAGAAGGGCTGGAGGTTGAGTTCAACAGCCAGTGATTCTTGCCTATGTAGTGAAGTCCCCATAAAACCCCAAAAGGACTGGGTTCTGAGAGCTTACAGGTTGGTGAACAGGTGGAGATTTGGGGAGAATGCCCTGCCTGGGGAGGGAATGGAAGCTCTGCATGCTTTCCCCATATCTTGCCCTATGCATTTCTTCCATCTGGCTGTCCCTGAGTTATACTATTTTATAATAAACCTATAATCTAGTAAGTAAAATGTTTCTCTGAGTTCTGTGAGCCCTTCTAACAAATTAAGTAAATCCTAGCAGGAGGAGAACCTCTGGCTTAATACCCAGCTGTCATAAGTACAGGTATCGACGTGAGCTAGCGTTAGAGGGTAGAGACCTGTCTGAAGCGGGAAGGGGTGGGAAGTAGGGGCGGGACTGGTGGCAGTCTTGTAGGACAAACTTTAACCTGTTGTGGACAAAGAATGTCACCTGCCATTTCAGTAAACAAAGGATGTTGCAGCCATCAAACCATCAGCCTCTGCAGCAGCTCCAGAAGGTGCACTCTGAGGGGAGTCAGGATAGAGAAAAACAGGACACTGGCCCTACACAGTTAAGGTGCATGTCAAAGGAATAATTTCAGTAAGCCCAGACTCTTGCACCTTCCCACACATAGAAAAGCACTAAATTCATTAACTTGAAATGTCTGTTCTTTAAGTAGTAGTAATCTTTTTATGTTCTACTACCTGTTTTGGTTTGGGGTTTGTTTTTTTTGTTTGTTTGTTTGTTTGCAAAAACTCCTATATATCCTGCTCCTCCCTTACCTCTTGGAAACAGTCCCTCAGAGCTATCTGAGAGGCTGTATCCTGGGCTTAAATCCTCAGTGATGGCCCAAATAAAACAATTCTCAACTTTCAGGTTGTGCATTTTTTTTTTTTAAGTTGACACTGGAATCTGATGCTGTCTCCAGGTAGTGTCAGAATTAGATTGAATTCTCAGACACCCTGCTGGTATCTGAGAATTGCTTGTTGGAGGTGGTAGGGACCACCCCGCCTCGCGCACACACACATGGGAATTGGGTCAAGGAACCCAAAAGACATGGGGATTGGAGGCATACATAGTGAAAAAGCTTGTCCGGAAGTCTTGGGTGAAACTGTTTCTCCCAAAATGTCCTAAAGCTTTACCCTTTAGGTTTTAACTGAAAAACCATCCTCTAAGGAAATTTTATTGTACAAGTAACACCAGGTCAGCAAATGGAGAAGAGAGGGGATGATGGAACACTAGACAAGAAAGATAAAAGAAGGGGACAGGTCTCCTCGGCCTCCCTGCACTCCTCAGCCTCTGACCCCTTTGTGATAAGCAGGAGTCTTGAAGTCTGACCGGATCCTGGTCTGACCAGAGAACTCACCCATGTGGGATGTGGAGATGACAACTCCCAAGCACCAGCTGATAAACCAGAGGCAATCTCAGGTCTCCTGGCTGCCTGCTCTACCCCTCCTCCCCTCCCACCCCCACTGCTGCCCGCTTCAGCTCCACCAGTGGAGCGCTGTAGGGCTCCCCAAAGTCCTGACCTTGCAGAAAGCTAGTGGACCAGGAAACCCCTGTCCCTTACCTGGGCCTGACAGAGGCCAGAAGAGTCTGACTCTCAGGTCCCCTCCATAGTGAAAGCCATCACCACACACCATTCTGTGCCCCACTCCCAACAAGAAAGATCCTCTGGTCACACTGACCATGCCCTGCCCCACCACACCCAGGCTCCACATCGGATGTGGGGGTGGCGGAGGATTCTGTGTGTCTGCACTGCCTGAGCCAGGGCAGCACTCAGCACAGCGCAGAGCGCTCTGGTGGACATAACCCCAGACGACCCACCTTCAGGCAGCCCGTGGGGAGCACTGCCCGAGAGCTGGGGAGATGGGAGACAGAAGAGAGGGGGTTCTTATGACCTGCATCTCCTTCAGCCTCTATGGAAAAGCCAAGGACTAGAGGGCCACTGCTATGTGATATGGGTGCAAGTGGGGAGGAGAGGGGTTTGTGCTTAATACCTTGTGCCACGATGCCTGGAATTTGATAAGTCTTTAGAGAATGAATAATTGAACTGGCACTGGCCTTCAACCTGTTATCAAACTTCAGGGTTTCTGGAAGACCCTTGCCCAGCCTCCCTCACAGAGGTGTCCAAGGAGCCAAGAAAAGATGGATTCTAAAAGTCCCTTTGAGCACTTAACTTTCTCTGAGCAAGGTTATTATATAATCTGATACTTTCGAATGCAGGCTGACCTCGGGGGTAGAGAGACTAGAGGCAAGAAGACCGCTCAGGAGGCTGTTACAGTGCCCTCGTGAGACAGAACTCAAAAGAAGCGAGTGGAAAGGAATGCATAAAAACAAAACACAGCGTGATTTTCCTCAGAGAACCAGCCTTTGAAGTAGGATTACCAGATAAGATACTTATACTAAAAATTATTTGGTTGTTTATCGGAAATTTAAATTTACCTAGTGTCCCAGAGATTTTTGTTTGTTCTGTTTTCTAAATCTGGCAACCCTACTTGGAAGAGGTACCTGAAAGGGCTGTGGCCTAACTTGGGGGGGCTTCTTGTCTAGACACTGGGCCATCACCCTTTCCCCAGTTGAGGCCAGCCCCTTTTCTCTATCCCCAGAGCAGGCCTCAAGGACTTGGCCCTTTTTCCTTCCCTCTTCAGTACTCACCACTTTATCCCCTGGGCTTCCTCTTCTGAAAGTCTGACTGTGAAGCAGGTGGCAGTTGCCCTAGCTACCCCTTTCCTTGCTGCTTACTCCCAAAATAAGCCCCCAGTCTCTCCTGAGAGTTTACCTTTAATCACTAGAGCAAAAGATACAGGGAAACAAGCATAATAAATGATAAAAGGTGTGCGGGGCTTTAAAAGTTATTACGATTGGGGTCTCAGGTTTAGAGCTGTTGACCACTACTCTCCCACAGTAATTTAAACACCTTCTCTTTATTCCTGAGCATGAAGCTGTCAGCAAAAAATCAACCAGTGCTCAATCTGAGAAAGAAATGGAAAATTTTACTCGAACCGACAGGAGGGTTATAAACTGGGAAACAGTCTTTCAGGAAGCTCTGAGGACTATTCCAAAGAACCAAGAATTAAGCGGGGAGGCTAGTATAGGTGTGATGTTGACAAACAAGTATGTGAAATCAAGCACACATCTTGGCAGAAGTTTACTGCTGTTTTCGAGGAACAGATATCTTAGTTAACGGTTTTAGCGCGTTTCTAAGTATGGGAAGATGTAAGAAACTGCATTCACAGAATTTTCTCCTGAAACTATCTAACTACCTGAGGGCCAGTTCTGCCAGTTTTCCCAGAGCACAAAGTGCCTCATCTTGATCCTAAATTCCTTTCAGGGTAAGTCAGTGACTGTAGGGCTAATGATTTAATTCTTCTATAACTGGCTGGTAGGCAACATTATTTTATAGTCCTCTACTTTTGATTTTAATTTCAGTGAAGGTTTGGGAGGCATTTCATAGCCAGCTTGATCCATGGTGCTAGGAATGCTCATTCCCAGGTGAGGTGAGGATTTCGTTGATAGGCCACTCAATCTGCTATTATTGGACTAGGCCCTGTTAACAGCCAAATGTCTCTGGACCACCAGTCTTACTAGTCTGTTCTGGTCCAGAATAAGACCACTCTCTTGTCGTCTTCCCATATCTAGAGTTACACTATTACAATCAATATCTTATAGAACTATATATTTGGTCAATCATTTCAAGTCACCTAATCACCATTCTTTTTATCAGAGGCTCAATCACACATTTGGTAATGCAAGAAACAATAATCTTATTAAATAGGCAGAATACAAGTAATATAGCTAGTAACATTAATAAGGTCATTAAGTGAGCATTTATGCTAAGAACTTCCATTAGGTGCAGCCCAGTATCTCCCCAGGTCATCTGACCCAGTCTGTCGTGCAACAATCACGTTCTTTAAAGGAAAGAATATACTGGCATTGTATATAAGGTTTACCAAAGGCATGTGCACGTACAAGGTGAGTGGTGGGTCATCTTGACATCTTACAAGATTGAGAAAGGAATGTTATCTTCTAAGGAGTTACATGGTTGGTGTCAGAAGAAAAATTGATCCTTATCATGGAGAAAGTGTTTCTGCCATTGGGAGAGAGCTGGTTAACACATAATGCGGATGCACGATGCACATCACAGGGGAGGGAGGAGGCCCAAACAGGCAGGGAAAAAATGTTATGTTTACATTTTTCTTGTTTTGCCTTAAAATAGGAATTTTATTTCATCAAAGCTCAAGGCTTAACATTCTGGCGCCCATTTATTGTGACCACTGGAACACATTAGAATCCAAGCAACAGAGGACTGTGCCTCGCACTGAGAATTCAACAAGAGATGTAAACTCTCTGGAAAGCCATAAAAAAACAAAACTAAACTAAGAAAAAATTTTGAGGGTAGAAAAAAATGCAAAGATGGAATATTCAGGTTTAAAAGATTTTTTTACTGCGGCAAAATATACGTAACTCAAAATTTACCACTTCAACCATTTTTAAGTGTACAGTTCAGTGGCAATAAGTAAATTCACATTATGCTGTAACCATTACCACTACTCATCTCTAGAACTTTTAAAACATCCCATACTGAAACTCTGTACCTATTAAGCAGTAAGTCCCCACTCCCCCTTCCCCCCAGCCCCTGGCAACACTGGTCTGATAAAGAGATAAAAACTACATTTTAATTTTTTAAACTTATTTTATTTTTTGAGGGGGGAGGTAGTTAGGTTTACTTATTTATTTTTAGAGGAAGTACTGGGGGTTGAACCCAGGACCTTGTGCATGCTAAGCGCACTAACAATTGAGCTATACCTTCCCCCCAAACTACATGAATTTGCTCTAGGCACCTCATATAAGTGGAATTACTAAATACTTGTCCTTCTGAGTCTGGCTTATTTCACTTACCACTACGTATTCAAGGTTAACCCATGTCATAGAATTACTAGAATTTCATTTCTTCCTAAGGCTAAATAATATTCATATTATTGAATTTTGCAGTTGAATTATTGCAGTTTGGTATTTTAGTGCCATTAAAATACATTTAAATTTAGAAATGCTAATAAAATAATCTGGCTTTCTCATAAAGTTAACATGGGACAGTTAACATGGGACAACTGGGGATATAAGCATTTATTTTCCTCTGTTGGGGAAAACAAAAAGTACTCACCGCACAGAAGGGTTCGTTCTCCCAGCTCCTGAAGTCTGGAGACTTTCAGAATTCGCTACTTCAAGGCCTGTAAAGAACTACAACTCCCGTGAGGTCTCGGGCCCTGCCCTTCTCCCGCCCCACGGGCTCCAGAGACTACATTTCCCAGAAATCCCGGCGGCGGCCCGGAGCCGGCACTTCCCGGGCGCCCCCTGGCGACGCACTTCTGCGGGCTTCAGTTCCCGGCGGCCCTCGCGGCAGGTTCCGGGCGTGAGGGCAGTTCGTGATGGCGGGGACTGGTTCCGCCGCTGTGTCCGGGGCAGGGACTCCGGTGGCGGGGCCTGCAGGCCGCGACCTCTTCGCAGAGGGGCTCCTCGAGTTCCTGCGACCGGCTGTGCAGCAGCTTGACTCTCACGTCCACGCAGTCAGGTACCCAGGGCGGAAGGTTGGGGCGGGGCCACTCCTGGATTTGGCTTTGTAGGGGCGGGACCGAGAAAGGGCGGAGACGTGATGAATCCAGCCGGCGTTCTGTTGGGACTGAGAAGAATAAAGGTGGGAAACTGATTGGAGGCAGAACAGGACGGCGGAAGGCCCGTGGGTGGCGGTTCTGAGGCTGGCTTCTCTCAGCACTTTGGAAACACGTAGGGGGAATAGGCTTCTTGAGATCCGTTAACTGTCTGACCGTGTACGCTTTGTACCTCTTTGCAGGGAGAGCCAGGTAGAGCTCCGGGAACAAATTGACAACCTCGCTACCGGTGAGTAAGCATTCCCTGTAGATAGAATCCTACAATTCACTTAAGGACCAGCCTCTGGGCTGGGTTTCTGTCGCTTGCTTCCAGGGCTGTGGACGTACTCCTTTCTTAGGTTTCTAGTGACTGTGCCCACGTGGTGCAAGTGTTTTCCAAACCATTTACTAGCCTCCTTGCCCTAAGAACAAGAAATGGGCCATTAGGTGTCTAGTTGCACCTCACTTTCATCCCCCAGAACTGTGCCGTATCAACGAGGATCAGAAAGTGGCCCTGGATCTCGACCCCTATGTAAAGAAGCTACTTAATGCCCGGCGACGAGTTGTCTTGGTTAACAACATCCTACAGAATGCCCAGGTACAAGAATTTCCTGCCAACAGTCTTCGTTTTGTTTTCCAAGTCCTCGGGGTATTCTCCAAGACATCCTTCAGCGCCTAGTTGACAGTGAGCTCTGAGTCCTTTCACAGGGCAATTGTCTTGATTCCAAACCTTGTTTTGTAGGAACGGCTGAGACGGTTAAACCACAGTGTTGCCAAGGAAACAGCCCGAAGGAGGGCAATGCTGGATTCAGGAGTTTACCCGCCTGGTTCCCCAAGCAAGTAACAGGCCAGAAGATGGACCCATGACCACAGAATAGCACAAATACTATACCCTGGCTGCCAGTTTCCTCCAGGATTCCCTGTAGGTGTTGGGACATCAGAAAGGCAGCCCTGTGGTTGAAGCACTTAAAAGTCCTTCTTATTTATATGGGGCCTAAAGAAACTCGGGTATAGCAGGACTCAGCATCCCTGAGGATTTATTATGGCTCTTGCTTCCAAGAATGAGCTGAGGCCTCTACATTTGTTTTTTTTTAAGCTACATACTTAAGGCCCACCTCCTCTACCTTCTTTGAGACTCATCAAGGAAGGGGCTGCCTCTGCTACATGCCAGGCTGTTGGGATCTGTCCTCTGTCTGTGACTTCCAATTTTCTTTTGTCTACACAGGGTATTTAAAGGACAGGCAAAGTCACAGTGAATGACCCATCTGTCCTCTTTTGTTGACTGCACTGGCTTGAGCTACTGTAGCAGTGTTATTAGAATCATTTAATTCAATAAATGGTTAAACAGTATTCTAGTTTACTCTGGTATATGGAAAGGTGCCAGAAGTCTTCTACTTTAATTCAAATATAGCTTCAAATTGAGATCTAGTGTTCACAATGAAAAGACTCCAGGATCATTTTCAATTCAGAATACAGAAAGCAAAAGGAAACAAAACAGGTTGCCAGATGCCAAGGAAAACAAGACCAAGAGCCCTAGTAGGAAGTACTTTAATTTTTTTCTTAGAAAAAAAAAATTGCAGACACTAACAATTCACATTTCAACAACAAAGTACTGGTTGAAAGAGGTTTCTGGGAGTTTGGGGATTCTAGAGTATTAGGAGCAAAAGTTGGTATACTCCACCACTATACATGGATGGCTTAGGTCATAAATGGGAGACTTCTGGCTACTAAGCCAGTTCAGAACCCAGTGGAGTGACACTTCCTTCTACAGAGTTTATTTTTATCTTCCTTCCTGTCTCCCCTATCCCTCAGAAACATCACCATACAAAAGCCCAGTAGCATTTAGCTGAGGCGCCAGTCTTCCCCCTGGGTACGAAAGGGAGCAGAGACAGGGAGGTCACTCCTGAGTCTCCATGCTTTCCTCTTCCTCTCCTTGAGGTGGCTCTTCTGTATTCTCCTCCTCTTCCTCTCCTTCCTTCTTCTCTGGTGGCTTCTCATAAGCCTTTTCTGAAGGCGTCACTATCACTCCATCCCAGGTAGATATTTCAGAAGCAAGATCTAGAAGAGAAAAAAGGTGACTTTAGACAAGTAGTCCAACATACAGGTCATGATCTACACAGTGGAAACATTAAGACATCTGAGTAGTGTTGAGTTTCTTTGCAGATCACAGGATACCATAAAGAACCCCTGTCCCACAGTGGTCACTCACAGCTGGCATCACCCTCCTGGCCAAGGATCTTCCTAAAGCCACCATGTGAGAGGATTCGAACTAGAGTCTGAGCCGTGTAACAGACCATGTCCTGAGGGAGAGCAAAGGGAGGATAAATTAACAAGGAGAATCAAAATACCTTCTTTGACTAACATGAAAACAGAGATCAAGACAACTGTTAATTCCAAGACCAAAGTCTGGGAGAACCCCCAAATCCTTGACCCCCAAAAGACCACATTCCCTTTGCCTCTGACCAGGGGTATTCAAGAGTGGGGCACAACAGACCATTTCAGAGCTGTCCCTGATACCTGCTGTTCCAGAGTCATGACTGTGTGTACTCTGAAGTTGCCACTCTCACAGGGGTCAGTGATACCCACTGACCCTGGCAGGAACAGTCCTGCAGCCAGAATCTGCAAGCATCGTCTGAAATAGGAGGAGGTATCAGAAGAACACACAAGATAGCTTACATCCAGCCCCAGACCCAGAGTAGCTTGCTATACCTGTATGCCACATTTAGGGCCAAAGGCTGTCTGGTGGGGTTGTTCATCACGGCATAGTGCCCCTAGGAGAAAATGCATCTGGTAGGTGGGAAATGAAGTGGCAGTTCTGTCTTCAAACAAATTAAAACTTTAAACCACTATGTGAAAAACTGGTTAAGGTCTAGCGAAAATGTTCATGTTCAGAAAGCAGTTCTGAAATGACTGCTCATTCAGTAATTTCTCTCCATTACCACATTAATGAAATCAGCACAGTAATGAAAAAGACAAAGGGGCAGTGATAACTACTAACTTAACTAAGTACTCCAAAACCCCAAAGAAATAATAAACATTGAATCTTTACTGGATTACTTGTCCACCAATGAGACTTCTTTTAATCTCTAACAAATTTCATATGCTGGTAGGTTTCAGAGTAACTACTGTTAAATAGGGAGGATGAGGAATTCCAGTTTCCCTTCATTACTTACAAGTAAGTCAAGGATCCAGGGTGTGAGGGGCTCAAACCCAGGAAAACGAATCCTCAGGTCCTTCAGTAGTCTGATGAGAACTTTAACTCTGAAGATAAGAGGGCCCCGGTATTAAAAGTAATAACAGATCATAAAACATACTAGTGAATATAACAAAAAGGAAAACAGATTCACTGATACAGAGAACAAACGAGTGGTTACTAGTGCAGAGAAGGAAGGGAGAGGGACACAGTGGTATGGGATTAAGAGTACAAACTAATGCATAAAGTAATAAGCTCAAGAATATATTGTACAACACAGGAAATACAGCCAATATTTTATAACAATGGCATATAACCTTTAAAAACTGTGAACCACTATTTTGTATACTTATAACATGTAATATTGTACATCAACTGTATCTTAAAAAAAAAAAAGTACTATTTACCTCCATACCTGAGGTACAGAGCTGAAGCTATTTCTAGAACTACACAATACCTTCTTTCCCTCAACCTACATTTGCTTACTTAAGATAAAAAGCAAAATCCAGACAGAAGATTACAGTCAAAAAAGTTCTGTTAGTGGAAGTATGGGTATCCTGCTATTCACTGTATTTAGAGGGGCCAGACTGTATCTTCACTCAGATAGTGAGGGACGGACTCACGTGGACTGAGAAGCATTTTCCTCAAACCAGCGGGCATGTCGGATGGCTGCTAAGGCACTCTGTAACACTTTGATATCCACTAGAAGACAAGCGTGACATCCACCAAGATGAAACTTTCCTATTATTAAGCAATTCAGTCCCACTGCCATAGCCCAAGAATTTGAAAGGAGGACAGGAAAACTTAGTAAGTCCTTAAATCACCCCA